AAAGTAAAAAAAACAGGAGGGTGAAGAAGAGCAGCAAGGGAAGATGTGAGGGAGAATAAGAAGCAGGACGGTCAAGGGAGGAGTAAGAAAAGATGGGAATAAGGAGGAGGAGGCGGAGGAGGAGGAAGAGGAGGCGGTGGAGAAGAAGGGGGAGGAGAAGGATGGTGGGTGGGGTTGAAGGGGGTGGGGGTTGTAGTTGGAAGAGGGTGGTGTAATAGCTGGAAATGGGGGCGTGCGGGCTGGGAGTGGGTGGTGGGCATGGTGACACTATAGGCGGTGTGTGTGGTGGGTGGGCCTGGAGGGGGCGGGGAGTGTGGTTGGATGGATGTAGTGCGTGGGTTTGGAGCGAGTGGGAAGTGGGGGGGGGGGTAGGTTTATTGTGGTTTGGAAACAAGGTGACGTGAGGGCTGGGACGGGTCAATGAGTGGCATCCGATGACAGTAACTGAAGTAGGTATAAGAGATGGTGATGTGCTAGCTTGAGTGAGGAGCTGGCATAGAAAAGCATAGAGGCGACTAAAGACATTTAGATCACGTCAAAATACAGACGCTGTCACGAACACGATGTCTCACACGCGAATTGGCGTGACACGTAACCCGTAACAACACGGAACAATGCGATGCAACGCGGAACAACACGTAACAACACGTAACAATGCGATGCAACACGAAACAATACGTAGCAACACGTAACAATGCGATGCAACACGGAACAATACGTAACAATTCGATGCAACGCGGAATCACACGGAACAATTCGATGCAACGCGGAATAACACGTAACAATTCGATGCAACACGGAACAACACGTAACAATTCGATGCAACGCGGAATAACACGTTACGGCATAACACGGACACGGAATAGTTTAATTCAGGCCGCTCACGTTACCATTATTATATTTTGCACTAATTGTGAGGCGGGAACGCCAGAGTCCATTCCTAGTGTCCTATGCAGGTAGGAAATATACCATTTCCTAGTTCCCAGTTGAATAAAATCACAATTCCTAGTATTTTAATATTTATAAATCTTAATTTTACAAACTTATCTGGTATTTCCGGGCTCACAGATAATTAAATTGGGCAAACCGGCGTCCCGAAATTAAATGTTCTCCTTTAATTGTTCATATTTACACAGGTTACCAATTGCACTTATTATGTATATGTATATCTTATATGTATGTGGACTATTTGCGCTAGGAATAGAAGATATCAAATTATTAAAGCAGTTTTTACACGTTCGTGGATTTTTAACCATCTGTTAACCACAGACAATGAAACAGTTCTAACATGGAATTTTCGTGGGACCGATAAACTTGGGAGATCGACCAGTAGCGTGTTCAACTCGACGTCACACTGGACCGTGGCGCCATCTTTAGAATGCCTTACGAAGTGCATGAGCTTTTCGGTACATTATTTCAGACGATTATAGCTTTGCAGCCTTTCAGCGCCGTTCTAAAATTACACAGTACAGAGTAGAAAACACGAGTGTGACACCATCGTAATAAATTAAAATAAATTCTAGCCCGTAATCAGTTCACAAACAATCAATTTAACGGATTGACATTCATCCGGTCGATACCGTAATTTTCGTGACGCGTAAAGAATAGACTGCTCAATAAATTTCGCAATGCGTCTCAATTTCTGGTAATGACATCATAATTCCCGACAATTTGCGGTAAAAAAATCAGCTAGAAACGGTCATTAATTCTAGTTGGAATTATAGTCATTTGTGAAAGACATATATATATACACATATATACACATATATAAAGACATTTATAGTATATTATTATAGAGAAGCACTGGATAGCCGGCGTGTGTCTGCGCATGATATAGCTATTGTGTATGAGATGTTTGAACGGTGGTAGAAATGTTAAGATCTACTGGATTCATTAATTGGACAGCATCGAGACGCCATCATAAATTCTGGGTCACGTTCGATGTATTTTTCACTTTGTTGGTGCCTTGGTTCCACCCACTTCTTTCTTTCTTATCTTTTATGGATCCATCATCCCCTCTTCATTCCCGCTTCCTAGAATCCGTGTTATAACTCATTTCCCTTCTCATTCCCTCTCGCCCTTTTTGCGCGCTCTCTCTCTCTCTCTCAGTCTCGTTTTTGCTCAGTCGGGTGTGCGTTCAGACACGTGCGTTGGGTGACTATAAGGTGCAATTTTGCTATTGCAACAGTATTGCTAAAGTTGAAATACTATTACCGATAATATTACAGCAATTGAAAAACTATTACGATACTATTGATGAGTTAAGAAATTGTGTATAATATTGTTATAACAATCGCATGTTCGTATGTAAACACGTTTGGGTTTACATTAATTTCTAGACTGGTACCTTGTCGTTCCACTTGCACACTCGTGCAAAGCGAGTGAGCTAGTTGAGTGGACAATGCATAAATGACTGCGTGTTTGTCTAGTTAATTACAGCAATGGCGGTATAGTGTCTGTGATGGTTTTAACGCGACATTTACCGGCGAAAACACATTTAAGCGGTTAATAAACCAACATATAGTGCTTTAATGAGATGATTATTGAGTAAACAATCGGCGACAGTTATCGGTGTTCTACTTCGACATAAATGTTTAATGATTCGATCAATTGGTTCAACGATTCGATCGAAACGATTCGATCAAATGTCAACAGACATCAATGTTCTACTTCGAGCTATCAAACCAAACACTTGCAATTAATCGATAGTTCGATGCATCGTTACACTCCTAGTGTGCGTGCGTGCTGGTGGTGTGCGTGCGTACGCGTGTGTGCGTCCGCGTGTGCGCGTGCATGTGTGTGTGTCTGTGTGTCGCGTGTCTGTGTGTGTGGCGGGG